TAATTCAAAATTGACAAAATGGCGGCGTTTTTTGATAAAAAAAAGTTTAATTTCACCACAAATTTTAGTCGTTTTTGGCCTGCCAAAATTGGATTTTTGATCAGATAAAAAACCGATAGGTGATTGTATGTAACAATTATATACAAAACAGGCAGACCAACAAAAGTTCATGATCGGTGGATTTGCCTTCGAGTTATCCCTGCAGCAATTTCGAGAAATACTGATAAGGCTGATTGAACCTGGCCGCTAAACTTTAGAAGGCGGTAACTCGAAAACTACTCACTCACTTGTTAAACTGTTATTTTACAAAATTTAACATACTCGTAAGTTTTATTTGTTTAAAAAAAATTCACAATTGAGAAGCATTGATATTAAACATTTAGAATATAAATAAGTTAAAATTTCTAAATCGTATTAAGCCGCCAACAGTTATGTCTCGTGCATATAATGTATAATATTTCAAAAATTTACTCCCAAATTAAATTGAGCGCACACTAAAAGCGTCAATAAAAGTGTGGAAACAACAAAACACTATAAAGCGCGTCAAATTATAAATATCCAATGCAAAAGTACATAGAAATAAGATATAATATTTTGTAATTAGAAGCTCACACGCACGCGCTCACACAACCAACTTTAACAGAGAAAGAGAGAGGCAGTAATAGCGTGGGCGCTAAGTTTGGTAAGCGGCACCAAAAATATAATTCAATTAATTAAAGTGTTTCTTCAGTACCTCTGTACTATAAAGATTTCTTACTTTTTGTCTTCTAAATATTTGTGCTTCTTTTGCCTTGCACTGCAACTATGACTCTACAAAGACTTACATCTATTCTCATATGTTGAGTTCTATGTTCAAATATTTTTCTTTCAATATTGATTGGCGTGCTTTTTCGTTTTTCGTAAGCTAAGAGTGAATATTGAGTTGTTGAGCTACCTTTTGCACGCAGTGTTGCATGTGTTTTAGTTTTTGTATTGTATAATTTTTATTCTCGGCATGGACCTTTTTAAAAATAAATATATATTTACACACATATACTATATATATAGCATTTTGTATAAATTGTGAATAAATATAAAATATTATATATACATTAAGGTAGGTCAAAAAAATCCGAATGTTTTCTTTTTCGCTCCAATTTTGTAGAGCAGAAAATCTCCTACAAAACTACATATAAGTTTTCAGATTTATAATGATTTTTTTTCATTTTCACAAATTTGCCTTAAAATAGTCAAACTTCAACCGTTAATCGCGGTTAGGTTTACGAAAACACCGTAATAGACCATATTTTAGAGCATTTAATTTCCTACAAAATCAATAAAACGAGATATTTTTTCAAGTAGTTGAAAGCGGTAAATGAATTGTTCTATCTAATAATTGGGGGGGAAAAAATAGAAAACTGTAAGGCAGACTTCCCGTTACAATTAGGAGCTCATACTTGGAGAGGCTCTTTTAAAGGTGGCTGCCAACTAATTTATCAGAATGTCAAGCGAAAAAAAAAACATTCGGTTTTTACCTACCCTAATATACATACAAGTATATACTTGTATGTAGTGCAATTATATCATGTTGTTAATATTATTTTGAATTTAATTTTTTATTTTTTTTTAAATATATATTTAATTTAACCGAATTTAATATAACAAAAAATTTAATACCGCGGTCCTTAAAAATCCAGTAAGAAAATACTTTTTAGTTTCATTCCCTCAAACGGCAATATGTCTGTCAATAATAGCACTTATAAATTTGAAGTTCTGATTCCCTACGCCTGTCCCTGAAGATTCAGAAATTAAAAATCATTTTCTAACTTTTTTTGTAAACACAATACATCAGTAACGTTGTGTGTATGTTGTGTAAAGTAAACAAAGTATCATGGCTAAATCAGCGCCAATTTAATTAAAATTTCATAGATATTTTATTCTACCATATTTGTATAGCCGTAGCATACGAGATCTAGAATTTAAGCACCAAGTAGTCATTGGTCAGCTGAAAATAAATATTATAAATTTCAAAAACCAGATAGACTACTAGGTAGGTATGTAGGTAGGTAGGGTAGCTGTCTGACGACGCAACGCAATGTTCGCTCACTCTATTGTCTCCTCTCTGAACCAACCTGTGCTTCTGATGAAGTTCATCAGTATAAATAGTTTTATTTGCGCAACTTCCGATACGTAATCAAGGAACCCTCAAACGATAGTTGCGATTATTTTCCTGTATAGAGCCTTACATTCGCATAAAAGATGTTTGACATTCTCCTCTTCTTCCAACTCCTGACAGCTTCTACATTTGTCATTGTAAGGTACACCTAGCCTGTTGGCATGTTTATCAATTAGACCTGTTATTACTCTTATCAGAGTTCTTATGTCATTCCTTTTGAATTTTAATAGTCGGTTTGTGAGGCTCACGTTTGTCTAATAGTTAAGCAAGTTAATGATTGTCTCCACCGAGACTCAGCTAGATATACAACATGTTTGCTGATTAAGTGTTAACAAGTTGCCTGAGGCATAAAAATTCCCTCTTTTTCAGAAGTTAATTGTAAAGTGGTACCTGTTCTGGCTAGTTCATCTGCTTCGCAGTTACCACCATCACTATGCCCTGGAAGCCATTGCAGGTTTATCGTGAAGTAGAATGTTAGATCCTCTAATAGATCAAGACATTCCTTCACTATCTTTGAACTTGTTACCCATTAATGAAATATTACACTACTCGTAACTAGTAGCCACACACCAATAGTGCGTATGAAGGTATCTTATGAAATTACCCTCATTCATTACACCTTAAATCTTGCTCTCTAAAACAATACAAGTCTGCATATACCTAATTCTGTCATAAGTTCTGTTACAGGCAAGGCCGTTATAATAATTAAACTATAATACATATTTTAATAAATTCAATTTCATTTCATAATGCATATATACAAAATTTTATTCGAAATGGTCACCTTTCGCTTTTACACAAGCTCTAATCGATTCGGCCATTGATCAATGGCAGCATGCACAGTCTCTATTGGTATTGACAACGCTGAGCCAAAAAAATTTTTAGACTCCACAGTTGTTGGTTATGTATTCCAAAGACCTTACTCTTCAACTCTGACCACAAACTGTAGTCCAATGGATTCAAATCTGACCAATCATCTGCAGTTATTATAGCCAGGAATATTTATTTTAAGTCTCTGCTGGTTGAGTTTTGCCTTGTGTGCTCGAGTGGAATCTTGCTCGAATATCCAATGTGAAGAGAAGAGAGCATTGCTTAACGGCTTTTCCACGCCTTTTAAAACATACTGCTGGTACACTTTTGGCTCAGTTTTAACACCTTTTTCACAGAAATGAAGGGGTGTAATACCCTTACAGTAGACTCCCAACCAAACCATTACAGCAGCTGGTTGGTGACCACGTTTAATCCTTGGAATAATATTTTTGGCAGTTTCTGTGTAGATTTTGTCGTTTTGCTTATTAAAATCTTTTTCAACAGTCAAATTATTTCAAACTTTCATGGTCGTTGATCGCGTGTCTCTGAAGAAGCCGCTTGCATCTCTTGAGTGTAATAAGCCTTCAAGCGCGTTGTCAAAAGATGACCACAGTTGATCGACGAACGGCTTTAATGTTAAGATCATCTCGAATAAGTCCTGACAATGACCTGGTTGATATATCCATTTCACTTACATAATTTTCAGTTTTCTAGGGGGATTTCATTCCCCGCATTCGCGAACAGTTTTTATGGCTGAATTGGTTCGAACCACGCGAGGACCGACCACTTCTCTTTCTGTCATCAACTGTAAACGTTTGTGGAAAACAATCAATAGTACGATAAACAAACATTCTCGAAATATTAAGTTTTTTAAGAAACTCATGAATTTCACTTGCGCTTTTGCCACACTTCTGTAAAGCCATCACCACAATATGATTTCTTTACCTACCCCCTCCGCTGTTAATAAGCGAACGCCAACACTGAACTGATTATTATATATGAGTAGACACTGCTTATAACTTATAATAAAAAATAACGGTACTTTTTTCAGAAAATTAAAGTTGACTGATTTTTATGTTTAACAACCTTTGAAATTGTATTTTTTCTATTAATTGAATTTTTATTTCAAAAATTTTCATCTCCGGTTCAGTAAAGCTGGCTCTCAATGGATCGTGTTCAAAATCTGCTTGTCCTCGTTCTGTTTTGTTTTCTAGTTTCGTTAAAAATTAAGTCCATTATTTGTTAATACATTATACATAAAATTATGTTAATACCGGAGTTGCTTTTTATATTTCGGGATTTGAGAACAAAAACAAATATGAATCCTCGAAAATCGCTTCATTGTTTTTCAAAATATTCTTCTCGAAGCACTTTTGCCACTCTGATTGAGGTATATGCAAAGCATGCGTTCTGAACGCATCAACCACCTCTTCAGGTGTCGAATCACTTTGCGCACAGCATCAATAGTTTCCGGAACAACAACTGATTTTGTACGACCTTAACGAAATTGGCTTTGGAGTGATCTACGACCTCGATCCTTGATTGAGCTTCTTTGCCAAAAATTTAAAAAAGTTTATCGTTGCACTGTTACTGAGTTAATCAGAAGTTGTAAAAAAATAATCACGTTAAAATTCCATTTTTTGGCCGAAATGAATATTTTAAGTTACTGTAAACAATACAAATAGCGCTCGTAAGTCAAATTGCTCTGAGTGTGTATAATATCAAAAACGTGAAACTGAACGATAAAGTTGTGTTTGCCAAATCCCGAAATATAAAAGACAACCAACGCAAAAGGTGACAACGCCACTTTGCAAATTTGGTTTAAGTTATTCATATGCAATCGTTTTTCTTTTCTAATTCGTATACGAGTCTCTATATACTTATGTATTTATCTTATTTATCTGTGTGTATTGTTATGTATATATAATGCTTTGTGTATTTAAACCTAAATTGCATTTTCTAAAAGTCAAAAGTTGAAGTCTTCTTCTTAACTTTCTTTGTACTAAACATTAACTCTTCTCCCAACTCTTTTCAGCTGCATGAATAACAACCAGCCAACGCGGCCGACGTACAACATTATTCGCGCGAGTATTTCGTTTTCTAAACTTCTTTAAAAAATGTTTTTAAAAACCGAAGCAGCCAACACAAAAGCAAAAAAGCGGACGAACAAAGTAAGTCCAAATTAAAATTTGATGACCAAGTGAGAGACAGATAAGACGAAAGTAGAAGACACGAATGAAGATTTCTACAAAACAATGTTAAGCAGGGATTGTGACAAGTACAGAGGCCATGAATGTGCCAAGGAAACGAAACTCACAGTGATACTTACATTACATTTTATGTATGTATGTGTGCGTATGTAACGCTGTGTGGAAGTTCGATTTCCACTTAAATGTAGGGTTAGGGTAGCAAGATTTTGACCGACAAAAGAAGAAATTGAACAACTTAACCACCAGCATCGAATTTAGGTGTAATAAAACAACAAAAGTAAAAGCAAAATTGAAACTAAAACTTAAAGAGAAAATGTTAAAAACAAACAAAAATGTGTGTGTGTGTGTGTGTTTGAAGAAACTAAGCAAATTTAATTAAAAAAAAACAAAAACAAGAAAAACATATTTTAATCTGTGTGCCTGTGTGTAGTAAGAGCGCTTGTATATGTGCGTCATGTGTCATGCTTTGAATGTAACTAACGCTTTGTTCTGGTTTTTGTTATACATATATTTAACTTGTAAGATTTTAAAGTTACTAATTGAAATTACTTAAGCATAAAATCATCGATGTGGTCTTACTAATGCACACTAACAAACCTAAGCACAACTAGATACCATGAACTTATTGCGTTTAATAAAACAAAATCAAAATCCAACTGAAAGTATTGATCAGGGCTCGATATTTACATTTGGGATCCGAAATTTCAGCGTGAATGTAAAATTTCTGATTTTTCCGTTAACAGTTGAGCGCTGAAGCAATTGTTTGCAAATCTATCAGTAACCGTGGGTAAGTCTACAAGTTAATATTGCCCGAGGATTTCCGGCTAAAACTTCCGGTCCTCATGCTGTTTGCGTTTCAGTAATAAAGTAGTTTACTGTGCCGTGATTCCACAAAGTTCAGCGCACCCAACCAATTTTCAAACAAAGAAAGCTGTAAGCTAGCAATGATTAACCTTCGCTCAGACTTCATTCTCAAATCCTTAAGGGGGGAAACCAGTTTAGATGATTCCAAAAAATCGATTTTTTGTATTGCATAAATTTTTAGTACAACTATTCAAGAATATGTTGCTTAAGTTTCATAACGAAATTCCAATTAGTTCCGATGATATGAGCACTAAGGTAAACACTGGTCGATTCAGTGCCGAAGCGAACTTTTTTTTTTTCAAATGCGTTTTTCTCGTATCGATTTTTTTTCAACTTGCGGGAATCCCGGCTCGAAAAGTTATTGCCGAATCGATCTGAAAATTTATTCAAGTCAGAAAAATATGAATCAAACTCTGGAATGATATTATTAAGTAAAATATAATTTTTTATGTAAGAAAGGTAAAAAAAAATATATAAAATCATAACATTTTGTTCAAACACCTCCAAAACATTTAATTTTCAACTCTTTTGGCCAGAGTTTGGAAAGTTTATTCTTAGAAAATATGTTTCTAACGAAGTGAAAAAAAATTAATGATTGCAGGTCAAAACTGTGACCTCCTGGTGCCCCGCCAGTAGTCAACTCTAATGGCGATCGTCAATGGACATCTCCCTCTAACTTCAACACTTTCGGCGGAAATGGCATCGAAAAATTTAAGAGTGTAGTTCAAAATTGGAATAAACTACAAGTTTAAAAGAATTCTAAGTATTTTTTCTCAGTTAAAAAAAATAGCTTTCCTGCTACTGAGAACGGAGTGCGCTATGTTGCTTAACTGAATACTCGCTATGTAGATGTTTTTGAGGAGACCTTAAGAGGCATATCGAAATTGATTAACCATAAAACTGTCCGGTGAGGAATTTCTACAATTTTGCACACCATAGAACAGAATTGATTCGACTGAAGGCCACTTAATCTTTGGGGAGAGAGCTAAGGGTTAATTCATAGACCCGCTACTATAAAGCAGGAATACTTTGTTGTTCATTTGCTCCTTTCCTTCTGACAAAAATGATTGTCAATGAGGTAGACCGTGTCTTGATTAACTACAAACACAATAATACTGATATCCTCAGTATGAGAGATACTTCTGCTGCCTTCGGTGCAATCATTAAACAAGAAAAGGTTTTAATAGATCCCATAGATTTTTATCTGGACAGTGGCTGTAAACACGGCAGCATATCCCAATCATTTGAGGTTTTCTGAATGTTTTCTGCCGCTATAACAATAACAGCAATATTCGTTGTAGACAATAAACACTTTCTACAGATTTGCGGCGCTAATGTTGCTGTTCGAAGTCGACAGCTTCACAGCATTAAGATTGCTCTTACTCACTACAGTTCTACTGCTCTTGCTAACGTCTTTTCATAGATTGATCCATTTCAAAAAGCATTGCATGTGTTCGTTGGAACCATCTTGGAATGTAACAAAAACAAAAATGCTATTAGATCTATAGATGTATCTATATTCAATTGCGATAACAACCCGCTGCCCACCAGATGCAACTTCCAGTTGGAGTCTCTGATATTAATTCAACTGAACAAATATTTTCTTTACCTTAATGTGCTTACACTATATAATAAATCTAAATAAAATTAGCACAATTTGCATTAACAATTTCAACTCGCGTCACAAATTTTACTAAGTCGATATCGTTAAGTTCCTGCACCACATCTACTTATACTATACTACTCGTATTACTGGTACCTACTTCTAATGATTACTACTAAAAAGCTTCTCTAGCTAAAAAAAAACACTGAATTTTTTATTATTGTATTTCTTCTGCAATAATTTATTTACGAATCACACAATTTTATTGTATACGATTTTATAAGTTTATTTATTAAAATTTTTATATGCCTTATTTTATGTTGTACTTTCTACCAAATCTACAGGGTTATAATCTTGCATCACAAAAAATTTTTTGTTGCAAAATAACTGCGAAAATGTTGCTAAAATTAATGGGCAAATTAGAAGTTTTAAGTTAGTCTGAAGTTTATTTATATACATATATCCTTTCTAGAAAATTGAAAATTTATATTTTGGAGAAATTAATGCGATTGTGTTTTTCTGTATTATATTTATTACTTTGCGATGTCAGGATAGTAAGCTAAAGATGTATTTTTAAATTAAATATTCGGCACATTATAAATTCTCTTAATACGCCATAAAGGGTGTGGCGCGCCATGGCGGATGAACTCATTCGGGCCTTCTTTGATACTTTGCTCCACAGCAACAATAGCGTCTACAGTGAACACTGTGCGGCATCTCACTTTTAATCCGACTTTCGGTATTCTATCTTTCACTTCCACTATATAATTTCCACATTTTTTTCCGAATTGAATTCCGAGTGAAAATGAATGTTCTGAAAAAGAAAATATTCGTTTATTAAGTTTATTATGATAATAAAATTAATTGTTAATTATTAAAGAAAAAAAAAGATATATCTGGCTTGAAAACGGTAAAAACCAGAAATTCTAAAAATTCTCTATTCTAAAGTAGTTTTCTTAAGTACCTTTGAAATTATCTACTACTACGATCCATGAAAAAATGAATATCCTTCCCTACGGATTTTTGAACAGCGCCTTCGCCTAAAAATCTTACCGTGGCCGCCAGCTACCTTTATCTAAATGGGGAAGCACAACTAATTTTTAATGAAATTCAAATGCTTTTTTTTTTAATGTGAACTACAATCGATACAATTAAGTTCTGAATATAATATCATTCAAATGGCCTCCACGACTTCTTTTGCAGGAACGAATTCGATGAACCCAATTTTCGAGTATTTTTTCCACTAAATCAAAGTTGTATGTCACGAATAGCACTATAGAGCTTGACGTGCATCTGGTTAATTGCTAAAAACCAATGACTTCAAATAACCCCATAAGAAGTAGTCTAATGGGGTTAAATCACAACTTCTTGGAGACCATTCAATGTCACAATTTCTTGAAATTATCAAATCTCTAAACTTTTCTCAGAATAATTTGATTGCTGTGTGGCACGTAGCCACGTCTTGTTATAACCAGTTTTTGTCAAGATCAACTTCTTCCAATTGCGACCTTAAAAAGTTGGTTACCATTGATCTATACCGCTCTCCATTGACACTAAGAATGTCACCAGCTTCTTTTCGAAATAACTACGGACCGATAATTCCACCAGATTAAAAACCTCAACAAACTTTCTATTTAGTTGAATGTATTGGTTGTTCATGAATAATTTGTGGATTTTCTTCGCATCAGAATCGACAGTTTTGTTTATTTACCACACCACTCACCTCACATCATCCCCATAACGACCACAAAATGGCAAAAAGCGCACGAAAAGTTGCAATTGGAGAACGATTATTTTGATGATAAAATTGATTAATTTGTAAACGTTGTTCTTGCGTATATCTTTCCATGATAAAATTGTAAACATTACTGAATACAATGACAAAAAATTACAGATCATGACAGATCAACACATAGAAATCATTTCATCCCTATTGGAAAACCCGACCTAACACGAGATATAGATTACAAAAGCCATATATTAGAAAAGTAACATGTCGATTAATGCTTAGCAAAATGTTAACAAAAGTCGCAGTAGGAAACGTCAGGTATTTGTTCACCAATTCTAGAAAAATCGTCGGAATTGGAATTTTTTTATTTTTATTGAGAGATTAACATTTGCGCACCTGCGTCCAGTTCCCGCTTTTTGCTGCGTAGCAAAGTTTCTGCGAATTTCTGGATAATAGCCCAGTTAGCTTCGCTCTCCACCATGACGCTGATTATATTGTACTCGTTTATTGGACCGATCAGGTCTTCTACGGCGGTGCGTTCCCTTTACCATCGCTCACATTTAAAGAATGTGTGCTCAGCGTCGTCTTTAGTCGCATCGTTGTATAGGCATGACGGCTCTTCGACTTTTCTGATCCTGTAGAGGTACTTCTTGCGGTATCCATGGCCGGATTGTAGCTGTGTTATGTAGAAGTCGTCTTCTCCGAATTAACGACTTGTCCATAAGTTAAGGTCTCTTTTAAGTCTGACCGTCCATCTGCCGCGACTTTCATTCTCCCAACTTCGTTGCCATGCTGTTATCGTATCTTTTTTTATTTGGTCTAATGCGCTCTTGTTGTATTCAGACATTTTTTTTAGCTCCGACAGCTTTTTTCTTTCATATGCCAAAAGGTCAATTGGTGCATTACCTCTTATAACTAATATTGCATCACCTGAGACAGTTCGTTAATCTGATGCAACTCTGAGTGCTGCGGTGCGGTGTACTCTTGCCAATATCTTATGCCGGTTTTCCTTTTTTAACACATCTGCCCAAATCTCTGCTCCGTATAATAGCACGCTGATGGTCGTGGACATTAGAAGCTTTCTCTTTTCTTGGCCCCTATGTTGGCCATTAGTCTGCTGAGCTCGGAGTTGATTTTCGCTGCCTTTCCTGCTTCGTGTTGGATTTGTACGCAGAAAGTTAATCTGGGATTCAGTCTTACCCCTAGGTAGTTCACCGCTTTTTGTGTACTTAGAGTATCCGCAGTCGTTTGCACATAGCGTGTAAATTTTGGCGACTCATTAATTTCGAGAAATGGCGCAGTCAAATTGCCGCCAAGATCATGCGACTTAATGGCTCTAGATTATTTTCTCTGAGGGTACGTTAAATCAAAGGTTTACACCAATCAACCAGCAACGTTCAAGGAGCTTGAAGAAAATATTCAGCGTACTATAGCCCAAACAGGTGGAGATATGCAAACGGAGCCTTAGCCAAGATTCTGTTAAAATCATAATTGACCAAAATTTGTGTGTTTTATTTAATTTTAACATCACGTCGTTTCTGTTGGTAGACCCTTTACATCCCAAGTGTAAACAAAATGCAATGCACTTGGTCCTACCATTGGGTGCTTTTCTTTCATCTTTGGCGACTCACGTCTGAGTTTAAGTTGGAAGTTATGGTGTTCTCTAGATGAGAAACATTATTGTCATTATTTTTTTATTTATTTTTTTTTTTGCCAGTTTTCGATTCTACAACTGTGGCATTGTTAAGAAGTAACGCCGCATATTTGAACGTTGAAACTGAACTCAAATTTAAATATTTTATGACGGTTTTTTTTATATATTAAAATACATATGTGGTGCAAGATTAAACAACCTTAAAAAACACCAAAGTTTATAGACTATATATATATACATTTCATATTTATTATTATTATTTTCTATACATGGTTACTACTTTATTTTATTTTATTTTTTCCTCATAACTCATTGCGGCCTGGATTTAAAATTTTAGTCAAACTAATAAAGTATTTAGTAGCTTTTTATTTAAATAAAATTATGTATGCATTTATTTTGAATTAATAAAATTTGATATATATATACATATATTTTTGATTGTTTTTGTATACAAATTTAATGAAATGTCTTCCTCTATTTGTTTGTTGTAAATATAATAGAACATTGAAAAGTATAAATTAAATTTATTACAAATTTTAAAATGTTAATACTGTACTTTAATAGAATATAATTATTTTAAAATACTTATAAAAGAGCGTTTTTTTTAAAGACTTACTATACCATGCAAAATGTTTTGTAAATGTTTGCTTTTACTTACATAATTTTTTTATAACAGCATATACACAAAATGACAAAGTTAGAGAAGTGTAGTAGCACTAAGCGTAAAATGGAATAAAAATAATTCACCAAAATCTTTAAGCGAAAACACCAAAAACACCAAATTCAATTGTAATAATTACAAGCGTCTAAATTATATGAATTATTATTGTGAAATATTAATTAGAAATGAAAAAATATACGCATTTTGTCCACTTTTACATAAAATTAGCATAAGTCAAAATTGAAGAAATGTAAAAATCTTAGTAGTAATTGTTAAAAAATTATAAAAACATTATATAGTTTATTAATGTGTGTGTATGCTACTGAAAATATTAAATTTAAATATATATGTATGTAAAAGTTTTATTTAGTAGCTACTTAAAATTAAAAAACTAACCATTTCTTTAAATGATACCACAATGTTAAGCAAACAGCTCACGAAAAAATCAAACTAAGTAAAATGAAAGCAGGAATTTCAATAATTTATAAAGAAAACATATTTATACAATATATAAAAAAGCATATATATGTAAATACAAAAAACCATACAAATTTTATTTGAAAATTATTATTAGGGTGTGCGCAAAAATACAAAAAAAAATAATAATAATCCATTGCTAGTACGTGTGTATAATATGTATTACGGTGGAGCGAAAAAAAATTTTTTTTTTGTCTTAGCCTGGGGGTAAAGTCTGTAGATTAAAAAAAAAGAAAACTTTTGGCCAAAAAAAATTTTCAACACCTAGAGACGCGCTCAGTTTTAAAGTAAATTTCGAGTTAAAATATTTTTTGGACAAAAAAAAAATAATTTTTGGTTTAAACTCTTCGTTTTATATAAAATATACCGAATTTGACGGTTTTTGACACAAAATTTTTTTTAACGCTTAAGGAAAGCATATGGTCATTTAAGACTTTTTTTTTAAACTCCAATAATGACCACCAAAAATTTATTTTAATTTTAATTGGTCAAAAAGTTTACTCTCCACATATTCTAGAACACTTATCAAACATTTTTTAGGAAATAAAAATTTTTACTCGAAATTTTACTTTATAACTGAGTGCGCCTAGGGGGGGTTAAAAAAAATTTTTTTTTTCCAAAAGTTTTCTTTTTTTTTATAATCTACAGATTTTACGCCCAGACTAAGCAAAAAAAAAACTAAACTAACTAAAGTTTTTTTCGCTTTGTACTTGAAAAAATTAGTTCTTAGGCAGAAAATTTGTAATTTTATTTTTTTATTTAATTATAAAATTCAAAAGAGAAGAACATACATATTTGCGCTAAAATAGTCAAATCCTTTAGGTTTACGAAAAAAATATAAGAGACTATTTTGTAGAGCATTCAACTTTCTACTTTATTCTAAATTATTAAACGCGACATGTTTTAAGTAGTTTTAAGCGAGATAGGCGTTTTTCTATCTGATTATAAGAAAAAAATAGAAAAAGAAATAAGAGCTCATACTTGTAGAGCCTTTCTTAGAGGTGTATATCAACCAATTTTTTAGAGTACCAAGCGAAAAAAATAACATTCGTTTTTTTTTTTTTTTTTTGACCCACCCTAATCTAAATGAAAAGGGTGACATTTTAAATTTTGTATTTTTGTCGTTTTGTTAAGCTATCTCATGAGAATACTTTACTACTATATTTTCAAACAAATTGTATGGTTTTATTAATTAATTAATTAATATATTTATGTATTCTAACATCTTTATAATGTTTTTTCATTTGTTTTCTATTTTTATTTATATTTTAATTTATTTATTTATTATAACATTTTTATTATATTTTTTTATAATTTTTTGGTTACCGGTTTATCCCATTTAACGGCAAATATAAATATAAAAATATACTGGATATAAATATATAAAATATATTTTAATAAAAAACTAGAAATTAATTTTTTTATTGAAAACTTTTTGGAAATCGACTGTATCTTAGATTTTTTTTTAATACTTTAATTAAATTTGTATGTATGTATGTATATTCTATAAATTTTTTTATATATCGTTTTTTCTAAATATTTCTTTAATACTTTATTGTTGTTTGCTTAGTTTTTATTCGATTTATTTTTATAT